GAGGCTTTTAGAAAGACCCCCCCGCCCGCCCACCCTGCATACCGCCACCAGATCCTAAGGTCCACCAGAAGTCCCCGAGAGCCCCGCCCCTTCAGACCCGACCCGCCCATTCTGCATACCGCGGCCGCCAAATCCTTAGGTCCACCGAGAGTATCCGAGACTCTCGCCTTTCCAGGCCCGACCCGCCCGCCCGTTCTGCAGACCGCGGCCGCCAGGTCCCCATGTCCCAGGGCCACCGAGAATCCCCGAGACTCCCGTCCCTATCAGTATGACAGAACGAGCGAACAGCACAGATAATAGCAGGCAATAACATGACAGAACAGAGAATAAGAACTGAACATACTCTGACAGAACAGAGCACCACATAACGCATAACCGCATAACAGAACATACCCGAACAGAAGGCAACATGACTTCACACGGCCCAACATGATAGTGCACATCATGCCTTAAGATAACAGGTCAGGGCATACCATAACATTGCAATACAGAGCAGACCATGACAGAACACACCGCCACATAACATAATACACCATACGGTGGCAAACTAATGCCACAGCAAAGTTCGACATATCAGACAATGCGACACCGTACCATGACACTATATACCAAAACAGATCATGCCATCACACAGCAGCACACAGCACAGCGTACTATGTAACAGCATCGGGCACACCATACCATAGCAAAGCATTGCGTCGCAGAGTGGAGCATGATATGATCGAGCATAACCGTTATTAACATACCATGCTAGATTTGTGGCAGTCGTGCTACCACGACGGCAACGAATGTCATCGAGCATCGTAGACTGCTACAGTTTGAAAAGAACTCCCAGCACATAGCATGACATACTATATTGAGCACGACTCGACGTAATTAATATACTTCAACATGCGTGTTGCATTAGTGTCACCATTACGATCGGGCGAACCATATACCATTATAGATTATGGCATATCCGAATAGGTGCGCCACACTCTGAAGATAGCTTCTCATAACATATTAACGAGTGTGTAGCGTAGACAGCACAACGTAAGACATCACCTTACGATACCGCAACATCAAAAAACGGCATATATCATGACAGAGTTGACCACAGCACAGTTTAATTGAATCGTAAAGTGGACGCCCACTGAAGAGGGATCCCATAGCATAATTTACCGCACGTTGACACAGTCAAATGGGACGCGCGCGTCGAGGCCAGGTTGGCCAGAGGAACGATCAGGCGCAGCAGTGTCACGACGTCGCGCCGGCCCGTCGAGACCACAGCAGAGCACTTCATTCCGCACGAGCGAAAGGAGTACGGAAAGAATGGGTACAATGCCCAACAGCAGTTCCTGTTCATTTTGAACAGGACTCGCTGTCCGCGCCGCCGCGGCTGTGTCCGTTTGAGGCAGAGGGCCGCTTGCCCAACAGCGGCCGCTGTTGGTTTGGGACAGCATTTGTTGTTGGGCATTGTACCCATTTTGTCCGTACCCATTTCGGGCGTCCAAATTTACAGCGCAATTTCTTAGAGCATAGTGGAGAATATACCAGATTCCAGCATTGGTAACTACATCGACGACCGACGACTTGTGCCCTGTCAACACGCAGCGGCCACGCCGAGAACAGCACAGCAACGGCCGACTATAGACGACATTTCACAAGGGGCCAGCGCCACGACGTCACGTCGCCCCGCCTGGAGCAGAGCTTCACAAATCATGCTTGCAAAGGACAGAGCAGAGCCGATCCTTACATCACAGACACTAGGGACAGGGCAATGCTGTCATTTCAAACGCGACACGCGCGCCGTGCCCGCGCTGGCCACAGAAACAGACAGCAGCGACAGCGAACGATTAAACGACGTATCAAACGTGACAGGCGTCACGACGTCACGCCGGCTTCTCCACAACAGAACACACAAGAAATTAGTGTCAGGTACACCCGTCAGACATTTGAAAATCTAAGCGATCATGGACCCCAGCCTTCGCTGAAGAAAAACACAGTCCGGACTTGACCCTCGGCGTTTTCTTGGAGTTTATTTTTCGATCGAATGTAGGTGAATCTAGACATGGACCACTGTCGAAGAACACGGTTGGAGCGAAGTCCTTTCTTCTTACCTTGAGATTTTTTCAAGCCCTAAGCAGGGGTGTGCTACACTGGGGCAGATTCCAAGCTGTCAGAATATAAAACACTATTACAAAGCAGCCGCTATTCCAGGCGTCTCATCACACGAACATCATGACATGGTTGTGCCATGGAAGAGTCGATCGCGACGTGCGCGACGAGGTCAGGTTGGCAATATGAAGAGAGAAAAAAAGGCGCAGCAACGACCGATTGGCCGACGCTTTTGATGTGACAAGCGTCACGACGTCGCGCTGGCCCGTCGATAACATAACATAGATCAACCCAGTACAATAGACCCGATCATGATGTAATACATCATAGATGTCTAATGCTGAATACAGTGCCGTACCAAATGCAACATCCACGCCAACGTAAGGCTGGCCACAGGGCAAAAACAGGCGCAGCAACAACCTGTTCGACGTCACGCGGCTTGTGCGAAAGCTGAAGATGCAAACCACATGTGCATTTAACAATGCAGCAGCGACATAATGCTGGCGCGTTATCAAACGCGACATGCGCGCCGAGCTCAGGCTGGCCACTATAACAAAAGCACCAGTTTCGGGAACAAGCGCCGATTGTTTCGGTGGGTATCCCTCGAAGCAAGATATTTGTTTGGCGACGCGAAAGGGTCCTGGAGGGGCCTCGAAGCGAGGCCTCAGGGGAGGCAGATTTACCGAAACCGGTGCACCAGCTCTCTCTGTGCTTTTCCCGCAGGGCCCTTCGCCACCGCAGCTGGACCGCCGCCCCGGAGTCCTGGTCAGAACCTCGCACTTGCAGGAGAGGTCGTTTTAGCCGTGGCAATCGGGGGGGAGTTATTTGTTCGGTCCCAGACCTTTCACGTATTGATAATATCAAATCGAAGGTCCTTCTCTGCGTTCGGCCTCTTAGGGCCGTCGATGGGACCCGGGACCGCAAATAGCTTGGCGAAGAACCCAACCACGTGCAGTTGTGAGTGCAGTGCCGTTTTTAATACATGTTCCGCGTGCGGATAATGTATTAAGAATGCAGGGTTTAGTATTAAAACCAACGATGAGTTCATGCATGAATTTGTTCATAAATTAATCATGTCTTCAAAATCTTATATAATTAAAAATCCTACGTATTAAACATTGCCCTGTACCGCAGGTGTGGGTGTCGTCTTCCGTTGAGCTCCCTCTGGGGCCACGAAACGATGCACTGGGCGGGGAACCGCCCATTCGGTGGGCGGGACACCGCATGCGAACCCTGCTGCCGGGGCCCTCGGTGGAGATCCCTATGGGGCCACGAACCGTGTGAAGGGTGTGCCGAAATGGACGCGCAGTGGGCGGGGAACCGCATGAGAACACTGCCACTGGGGCCTTCGGTGGAGATCCCTCGTGTGAGGGGTGTGCCGAAATGGACCTGGCGTGGGCGGGGAACCACATGCGAACCCTGCCACTGGGGCCCTCGGTGGAGCTCCCTATGGGGTCACGAACCGTGTGAAGGACGCGCAGTGGGCGGGGAACCGCATGAGAACACTGCCACTGGGGCCTTCGGTGGAGCTCCCTATGGGGCACGAACCGTGTGAGGGGTGTGCCGAAATGGAACTGGGGTGGGCGTGGAACCGCATGCATTTTTTGCCATTGTGGCCTTGAATGGAGCACCCTATGGGGTCACGAACCGTGTGAGGGGTGTGCCGACATGGACATGCGGTGGGCGGGGAACCGCATGCGAACCTTGCCACTGGGGCCTTCGGTGGAGCTCCATATGGGGCCACGAACCGTGTGAGGGCGTGCAGGAATGGGCGGGGAACGATGACGATGATGGTGATGATGACGGCCGTAATGGTGATGGCGATGGTGATTACGATGACGGTGACGAGGTTGATGATGATGGTGATGCTGATGGTGATGCTGATGATGATGATGATGATGATGTGGTGATGATGTTGATGATAATGATAATGATGACCAGAATACTAGTAATGCTTATCATGATGATGATGCTGATGTTGTTGCGGCTGGTGGTGATGCTGATGATGATGACGGTGGTGGTGATGATGATGATTGTGGTGATGACGATGATGGTGGTGATGATGATGTTGATGCTGATGATGATGCTGATGCTGATGACGCTGATGATGATGCTGATGCTGATGATGATGACGATGCTGATGCTGATGATGATGATGATGCTGGTGCTGGTGGTGATGATGATGATGATCATGATGATGATGATGATGATGATGATGATGTTGATGATGATGATGATATGATGATGATGGTGATGATGATGATGATGGTGATGATGATGATGGTGGTGGTGGTGTTGATGATGATGATGATGATGATGATGATGGTGATGATGATGATGATGATGATGATGATGATGATGATGATGATGATGATGATGATGATGATGATGATGATGATGATGGGAGGAGGGAGAGGAGGAAGGAGAGGAGACGCGGGGGTGCGCGGGGCGCTGTCTCTCCAACACAAGGACCCACCACCACAGGATGGGATGAAGCATTGGCCCCTGGGAGAGGGTGGGGACTTCCGGGGACCGCGTATCAAGACAACCCAGACATTGCGTGTCTGGGTGTCAGCATAGACACTCAAGAGGCGAACGTACGGACACCGCTGCTGGTCCTGGAGAGCCCTCGTCGCCTCGGCGTATCGGTACCGCTTCGTCCCCCCGTTAATTCTTCCTGCTCCCCCCAGGAGTGTCGCTGACGACGTGATCTCGTTGCGGAGGGAGTTCGAGGAGCTCCGAGGCCGGGGCGCACCCAGGGACGCCGAAGCCTCCGTGCAGAGCGGGGCCGGCAGCGGCGACTCCTTGCGGGCCTCCTTGCAGAGCGGGAGCGGCAGCAGCGGCCCTCCGTGGCGAGCGGGGTCGGCGGCGGCAGCGGGCTCGGTCTCCAGCGGCGGCGGCAGGCCAGCTGGCGAGGTCATTGCCGCGGCCGGCCTGGCGGCCTCGCCCAGCCACTCCACGACGGCGCGGCCCCTCCCCGAGGCCCGCGCGGCGCAGGACGAGGCGTCTGCGGCGGCCTTCTACCCGTTCGAGGGCGGCGGCTTTGCCGCGGTCGGCATGGAGACCTCGGCCAGCCACCCCACGACGGCGCGGTGCCGCCCCGACGCCTGCGCGGCGCAGGATGGGGCGGCGGCGGCCTTCTATCCGTTCGAGGGCGGCGGCCTTGCCGCGGTCGGCCTGGGGACCTCGGCCAGCCACCCCACCACGGCGCGGCGCCGCCCCGGCGCCTGCGCGGCGCAGGATGCGGAGGCGGCGGCCTTCTATCCGTTCGAGGGCCCAGGGTCCCTGGCCAGCCGCCCGCCCGCGCGGCACCCCCCTGAGGCTCACGCGGCGCCGGGGCCGTCGGCGGCGGCGGCGGCCTTGCAGCAGCCCTTCGAGGGCGGCGGCCGCTGGGGCGCCGCGGCCGGCGAGGCTCGCCTCGGCGCGGCGGCGGCGGCCGCGCCCAGCTGCGGCGTGGGCGCCAGCGCGGGCGGCTGCGGCAGCGCGCGGTGGGGCGTCGGCGAGCAGGTCGCGGGCGGCGGGGGCGCCTCGGCCATCGCGGAGCTGCGCGAGAAGCAAGCCGCGCTACGCTGCGCCCTGGACACGGAGGGCGCGCTGCTGAGGCGCGAGCTGGACGCGCTGCACGGCAGGCTGCTCGAGGAGCTGAAGGCCGTCGAGGAGAGCGTACTGGGTCTGGGCAGGGAGCTGGTCAGTCAGACCGAGCTGCAGAACGAGCTCCAGGAGGAGCAGCGGCAGCTGCGGCAGCGCCAGCAGGAGATGCAGGAGTCCTGGAAAATGTCCGAGCTGCTCGGGGCGCAGCTGGCTGCGCCGGAGCATGGTGGCGGTGCGCGCTCTTCATCGCCTCCGTGCCATGGCTCACGGCACAGTGCGACAGAGGACTTCTCGGGCCCGCTGGCCTCACTAGGGGCAGAGCAGGTCCGACTGCGCAGGCTGCAGGAGGAGATGCAGCAGGCTTGGTGCGGCGCCGACGCCGTCGCCGCGCAGCGCCTGCGGGCGCTTGAGGACGCTAGTTCCAAGGCGAGCGAGTGGCTCGGACGGCTGGACTCTCTGGCGGCAGAGCAGGTCCAGCTGCGCCGGCTGCAGGAGGAGATGCAGCAGGCCTGGTCCGCCGCCGACGCCGTCGCCGCGCAGCGCCTGCTGGCGCTTGAAGAGGCGAGCTCCACCGCGAGCGAGCGGCTCGGACGGCTGGACTCCCTGGCGGCGGAGCAGGTCCGGCTGCGCCGGCTGCAGGAGGAGATGCAGCAGGCCTGGTCCGCCGCCGACGCCGTCGCCGCGCAGCGCCTGCTGGCGCTTGAAGAGGCCGGCTCCACCGCGAGCGAGCGGCTCGGGCGGCTTGAGGAGGCCAGCCTCGGGCAGGGTGAGGCTCGGGCTGCCCTGCAGAGTCAGCTGGATCACCTGGGCCGGAGCGTCGTCGGCTTCTCCGAGGACCTGCAGCGCGCGGCCTTTGATCCTCACGCCAGCCTCGCGGCGCTGCGCGCGGACGTGGCGGCGCAGGCCCGCCGCTTGGACCGCCTGGTCTCCACCATGGATGCACAAGTGACGAACCCGCCCCCGTACGCAAGCCTGAGTGCATCTGGCGCCTCCAGGAACCCCGACACCGCTGCGAGTGTTGCGACCGTACCATCCGCCAGCCAGCCCGCAGCCGCGCTGCTGCGCGCGAGGCCAAGGCTGTTGCCCCCTGACGCGAGCCGCATCATCCTCGCCTTCCGCGCCTGGGCGCAGGCCTGCCCCCTCGGCGGGCAGCTGGCGCTGGAGAGCGCGGAGCGCGGGCTGGGGCGGCTGTGGCTGGAGCTACGGGAACAGGGCTCCGAGCTGCGGGGGGTCACGGCGGAACTCGAGGGGCTGCGCGGCGGCCACGCGAGGTGCTCCTCCGAGCTCCAGGCGTTGCATGGGACGGTGCGGGAGCAGGGCTCCGAGCTGCGGGGGGCCACGGCGGAGCTCGAGGGGCTGCGCGGCGGCCACGCGAGATGCGCCTCCGAGCTCGCAGTGCTGCGCAAGAAGGCCGACGCAGCCCAGGAGGAGTTGCGACAGCTCCAGGGCCTCCGCGAGGTGGAGGAGGCGGCCGAGGAGCTGAGGGGCACCGTGGCCTCGCTGCAGGTGCTGCAGGCAGAGCACTCGAAGCTCGCGGCCGCGTGGAGCGGCGTGGAGGAGAGGGTGTGCGAGCTCAGCGAGCGCAATCAGGGCAGGCGCGAAGCCGACGACAGGATGCGGGCGGAGCTGTCCGAGCTGGCGAGGTCACACGGGGAGCTGCGCCTGGCGCAGGAGCACTCCAAGCTGGAACTCCGCAGGGCCGTCGAGGAGTCGACCGCCGACTGCGCCTCTCGCGTGCGCGAGCTCAGCGAGCGCGACCAGGGCAGGCGCGATGCCGACGACAAGGTGCGGGCGGAGCTGTCCGAGCTGGCGAGGTCCCACGGGGAACTGCGCCTGGCACAGGGGCGCGCCGAGCTGGAGCTCCGCAGGTCCGTCGAGGTTTCAGCCGCCGAGTGCGCCTCTCGCGTGCGCGAGCTCAGCGAGCGCGACCAGGGCAGGCGCGATGCCGACGATAGGGTGCGGGCGGAGCTGTCCGAGCTGGCGAGGTCCCACGGGGAACTGCGCCTGGCACAGGGGCGCGCCGAGCTGGAGCTCCGCAGGGCCGTCGAGGAGTCGGGCGCCGAGTGCGCCTCGCGCGCGGAGCTCGCCCAGGCGCAGCTCGGCGGGGCCGCGACCGCGGAGGGCCTGGAGGAGCTGTCGAGGCGCGTCTCGGAGGTGGTGCTGGAACTCCAGGACCAGCGGTCCTCCCTCGGGGCCGCGCCCGCAGTGGGTCTGGAGGAGCTGTCGAGGCTCGTCTCGGTGGTGGCGCTGGAGCTCCAGGACCAGCGGTCCTCCCTCGAGAACCTCCGCCAGACCCTCTGCGAAGTGGCCGCCGAGTCCTCGAGCGCTCGCCTCGGGGCCGCGAGGCCCTCGGCGAGCGCCCAGGCTGCGACGGAGGCCGCCGCCGCGGCCCGACGGCACGCCGGCGCAGAGACCCTCGGCGAGGGCTCTGGCGGCCCCACCGGTGCCCCTGCGAGCCCTCAGTGGGAGCTGGTCCCCGCGAGCCCCAAGGGCGCCGCGGCGGAGCCCTGCGCCTCGCCTCCGCCCAGGGCGGCCCTCGCGGCGGGCGCCCGCGCCCGGGCGGCGCCCAGCGGCGGCGGCTGCGCCGAGGAGCGGCGGCGTGCGCCGTCGGGGGGCGCGGAGGGGAACCTCGGGCGCGAGCTGCGCGAGATGGGCGCGCAGCTGTCGGGGGAGCTCGCGGAGCAGCGGGAGGTGCTCGCGGCGCAGCTGGCGGGCGCCCAGCGGCGGGCCTCCGAGGAGCTGGGCGCTCTGCGGGGGCAGCTGGCCGAGGCGGTCGGCGACGGCGCGGAGCTACGGCGGCAGGTGGCGCATTCCAGGAAGAGCCTCGTCATCGAGGGTCGCAGGAGTTGATGTTTTCTCCTCGGCGGACGGCGGCGGAAGGCCGCCCCCGCAGGGGTGGGGGTGCGCGGAGGCGGGATCGAGGCACAGCTGTCTCGCCACCTCGCAGCCGCGCCCTCCTCAGGGCACCGACTGATTTGTGCGTCGCGCCGCGCGTTTCGCACGGTAGATTTGCGGCCCCCGCAAAACTTCTTAGTTCTCGGGAGTAGCGTTGAACAAAAAGGAAGGCCCGCGGAAGGCGGCGGGAGCAAAACCACGAAGCTCGGCGGAAGCCCGCGGAAGTAAAAACCGCCCCCCCCCCCCCCAAGAGATGGCAAGTTTTTTGTTGGTCCAGGGTTGTCTTGCAGGCGAAGTTGCTGTTCCCAGCTTTTCCTCGCGCCACCTTTGGGCCTCCCCCTGGGCCTCGTGGAGGGTGCTCTGAGGGGGCCGCCTGCGCCGCCCCGGGAAAGCTGGGATCGCCGTGGGCCCGACCAGGGACATGTCCGGCAGCACCTGGCAGGTGGAGTTCCTGGGCGCCCGCCTGGACGCGGGGGAGCAGAACTCCTCTCGCGGGCTGGCGCTGCTCCAGGCCTCGAGGAAGCGCAAACATGGCTGAAGCGAGCGAGCCGGCGTGCCTTGCAGCCTTGCACCAGACGGTGCGTGAGCAGGGAAGGTGAAAAAGGCTGTCGCGGGATGCCTCCCTGCGACCGCTCCAAGCCGCCACGGCCAGCTCCCAGTCGCGTGGATTTGCGTCGGGCCCCGCTTCCCCCAAAGCATCGGCGCGCTCCGTCGCCAAGGCAGGTTCCCCGCCGATCAGCGAGTCTGGCGCAAGCCCAGACCCCCGACGTCACGATTTCTTCATAGCGTGGACCCCTGGAGGTCTGGACCCCTTCCCAGGGACCGGCTTTTCGTGCCCCCGGACGCCTAGAGCAGCGAAAAGCCGTCCGTCATGATGTTTGCCACGACGCGAGGGAGCCCCGTGAGATCCGACGTTGCAGAAACGATGTAACATCGTAGAAACTCGCAGCTTGAGCCCCAGACCCCATGTCTCTGGGCCATTTTCGAGCCGCATGCATCTGTTGAGGGTCCCGGGGCCCCGAAAACTGGGCGAATCGACGCCCGTGGTGAAAAAAGAATTGCAGCGCCGGAACCTCAGGGCATGTCAGAGGAGGAGTCGGAGGAGGAATCGGAGGAGTCGGAGGAGGAGGAGTCGGAGGAGGAGGAGGAGGAGGAGGAGGAGGAGGAGGAGGAGGAGGAGGAGGAGAGAGCGAGGAGCGAGGAGCGAGGAGCGAGGAGAGGAGGAGAGGAGGAGGAGGAAGGAGGAGGAGGAGGAGGAGGGAGGAGAGGAGGAGGAGGAGGAGCGAGGAGGAGCGAGGAGGAGGAGGAGCGAGGAGGAGGAGGAGGAGGCGGAGGAGGAGGAGGAGGAGGGAGGAGGAGGAGGAGGCGGAGGAGGAGGAGGAGGAGCGTGTGCCCGAAGAGGCCGCCATCGAAGGGCTGCGGGCCGACGACCAGCTCGCGGAGCGTCGGCGGGCCGCCGCGGAGCCCGGGCTGCTTCAGGCTTAAGTCGGGCGTGTCCCTCTACAGTGATGAGCCTGTGTTCCACCGCCACCACCACTATAAGTTGGAGGGGGGAAGGAGGAGGAGGGCGAGGAGGAGGATGAGGAGGAGGAGGAGGAGGAGGAGGAGGAGGAGGAGGAGGACCCCACCCCTCCAACTTATGGTGGTGGTGGTGGTGGAAAACACGCCCATCATACAGGAGGGATATTCAAAAGTAGTCATGGAATAGTCTGGGCATTGTTTCTCGATTCTGCATGTTAGCATTTGGGATGTCTTGCTTTATTCGTGCTTTAGCTTTCGCCCCAAATCCGCCTCCAGGGGGGGACGGGCCCGACCCAGCCTCCAGGCCGCCATCGAGGGGCTCCGGGCCGACCAGCTCGCGGAGCGCCGGCGGGCGCCGCCCGCGGAGCCGGGCGCTGCGCCGCGGGGCGGCGGCGGCAGCGCCGGCTGGCCAGGCGCAGCGGCTCCAGCTCGGGGAACGAACGATGACCGAATCGGCACGTCACCACCCACCAAACCACCCCAACCCAACCCGAAGGCTCAGATTTACCCTCGATTACCAGTGGGGGGGGGTCGGGAAACATTGAAGAAACACATGTGGAACCCTTACCCCCCCCCAACCCGAAATTCGGGTCTTCGGGTTGGGTTGGGGTGGTCTGGTAGGTAGTCAGCACGAGCGAACCGGGTGCGGGGATCACTCGGGTGCAGTGCTCAACAGCAGTTCCTGCTCATTTTGGACAGGGCTCGCTGTCCGCGCCGCCGCGGCCAGTGCCCACTTGAGGCAGGCGGCCGCTTGCCCAACAGCGGCCGCTGTTGGTTTGCGACAGCATCTGTTGTTGGGCATTGTGCCCATGTTTTCCGTATCCATCTCGGGCGTCCAGACCTAAACATAGAAACTTGGAGGTCCGCGCGGATTTCTCGGATTCCAGGTCCCTTCGGGTCATGAAAAAATCACGACGGGAGGTTTTTCGTCATTTTCGGCCTTTGGGGGCCCTCACCGGCCCTCGGGACCGTCAAAAACGACTGCAGCGGAGAAACCAGTCCTAGGGAATACGTCGAGACTTCTGGGGGTCGCGTCACGAAAAAATCATGACGCCGGGGATCTGGGATCCGCGCTGGAACCCTGGCACCTCCGGCGCCGCCACTGGCGCGCTCCGCGCGCCAGGGTGTGGGGTCCAGCGCGGATCCGAGAAATCCGCGCGGACCTCCGAGTCTTTATGTTGAGGTCGTTGTCCGTTCCCCCAACCAGCGGGCGTGCGGTTCCGCCAGTGAGGCCGCAGCTGCGAGGCCGGGGCGCACGCCTCACGCAGAGGACCCAGACCTCTCGAGTCACGGAAAAATCACGACGGGTGGTTTGTCGCCATTTTCGGCCTTTGGGTGCCCTCACTGGGCCTCGGGACCGTATGAAACGATTCCGGATGAAAAGCCGGTTCCAGGGAAAGGCTCTGGACCTCTGGGGGTTGCGTCATGGAAAAATCATGATATCGGGAGGGTATGCGGGATTCAGAGGGGTGGGGGAGGAGGAAGAGGAGTAGAAGGAGGAGGAGGAGGAGGAGGAGGAGGAGGAGGAGGAGGAGGAGGATACGAAACAATGGGAAGGGCGGAGGATATGGGGTAGAAATAGGAAGAGGAGGAGGAGGAGGAGGAGGAGGAGGCGGAGGAGGAGGAGGAGGAAGAGGAGGGGGAGTGGGAGGGAGAGCGGGGGTATCAGCAGCACGAAGAGGGAGCCGAGCCCTTGTGCCTAGGAACTTCGCCATCTGCGAGGGCAGGCTCTTCTTTGCGCTGGTCATGGCCGTGTACGGCATCATTGCCAGGTCGGGTGGGTCCTGGCCTGTGCCTTGTCAGAAGGAAAGAGCAGCAGCGGCATTTCGTCCTTTCACTCTCTTGTCCCCATTCGCTTCCCCCCTCTCTCTCATTCTCTTTCAGCATGGCGTGTGGAGAGGAATGTGGAGAGAAGGCGGAGGAGGAGGAGAGACGGATCATGGAGGGCAGGAGGAGACGAGGCAACGACGACGACGACGATGGCGACGACAACCACGCGCCAGGCTGTGCGACGGGAGAGCGTCCGGCCAGAGCCTGGAGCTCCTGGACTCGCTGCACGCGCTGGCGAGGGCGTACAGCGTGCAGGAGCCCCGCCGGGGTGGGAGCCAGGGCGGGGCAGGGCTGGGTGGGCTGGGTGGGCTGGGCGGGGCGAGGCAGGGAAGAGCAGAGAGGAAGGAGGGAGGGAGGGAGGGAGGGAGGGAGGGAGGAGGCGGGGGAGGAGGAGGAGGAGGAGGAGGAGGAGGGAGGAGGAGGAGGAGGAGGAGGAGGAGGAGGAGGAGGAGGAGGGGAGGAGGAGGAGGAGGAGGAGGAGGAGGAGAGGGAGGGAGGGAGGGAGGGAGGGAGGGAAGGAGGGAGGGGAGGGAGGGGGGAGGGAGGAGGTGGTGGAGAGGAAGGAGGAGGAGGAGGAGGAGGAGGAGGAGGAGGCAGTATGGAAGGAGGAGGCTTCAGGGAAATGGAGGGAGGAGGAGGAGGGGAATCATCACCTGACACCGTGAAGCATTCTCCCCAAGGCCGCCGTCAGCAAAGTGGGAGGGGGAGAGGAGGGAAGAGGAGGAGAACCAGGGAAGAGGGCGAAGGGGGATGGAGAGGTGGGTGTATGGAAGGGAGCTGGGAGGGAGATTATGATGTCTTGGGTCCTCCCTGGGCCCCATGCCCCATGGAGGTTCCGCGTCGCCACGATTGGGCTCTGCCTCTCCACGGAATCTTTGTCACAGCGCGCTCGAAGACAGGCTCGATGAATCCTGATCCTCCTCCACCTCCTCCTCCTCCTCCTCCTCCTCCTCCTCCTTGTCATCATCATCGTCATCATCATCAGCATCATCATCAGCATCATCATAATCATCGTCATCGTCATCGTCATCATGATCATCATCATCATCATCATCAACATCATCATCATCAGCAGCATCATCATCATCACAATCATAATCATAGTCATCATCATCATCATCATCATCATCATCAGCATCATCATCCCTATTTTTTGCATCGAGCGGACTCTAAGTGCTATGGTTGTAGCGTTCCTGGGTGAACAGACATGCGGTGGCCATCCGGCTCAGATGCGAGCGGCAACAAGAATGAGGCTGCGGGTCCTTGCAGAGAAACGTAAGGCAGACACAGAGTTGGCAAGCAGCGAAGTGCCCGTGCGGTCCTCCCTCTCCTGCTACTTCCCCTCGCTCCTCGCATCCTTCCGCCCCTCGCTCTTCCCGCCGCTCCTCGCCCCGCGTCTTTCTCCTTCGCTTCACCGCCTCCCCCCCCCGGCCAATGCCTCCAGGACGCCTCTTGCAGATTTCGATTTCTGAGAACTGGCAGAAGCCCTCGAAGACCCTACTGTTCATGCTCATCCCTCTCCTCCCCCCCCCTCTCCCTCCCACTGGGCGCAGCTTCGTGCGCATGCCACCGTGCGACGGCGACTCTTTCTCACACGGGGGGAGGTGAGTGTGGTGGGTCCCGTCAAGCGAGGAGGAGGTCTGTGAGAGGTCCGCGTGGGGCGCACTTGGCTGCCAGACAGCATAGGTTTGACCCCTCCAAGCTGTGCCCAATTGGTCCACCTCCCCCTTCTCACCCATCCCTTCTCCCTCCATCCCTCTCTCTTCCCCTCGTCCCTCCCTCCTCCCGCCCTCCTCCCTACCTTCCTCCCGCATCCCGCCCTCCTCTCCCCCAGCCAGGACAGGCTCAGAACCGGGTCCTAACTGCCTTCCGGGGCGGCATCTTGATTCCTGATTGTTGATCCTTTCACCTGGGAGCAGTTTTTCACTCCACATTGTCTTCTCATGGTCCCATGGGGCCCAGATGCGTAACGGCCTCCCGAGGCCGAAGCCGACGGAAACTCCAGGGGTATTGAGGAGACCGGGAGATCCCCAAAGTTCTTGGGAGGAGGCGGGGTGGCGCTGGAGGTCCTCCGAGGCGGCCTCTGGATGCCGCAAAGAAGGCCGAAGACGACAGACTGTGTCAAAGTTGCGCAAAACAGAGGAGGCCGAGGCCAGCGGCGATGAAGACGCCGATCCGGCGCGAGCACGGGACGTCCCTTCGGGCAGAAATCTACGCGGCTGCGGCGACGGCGGCGAAGTCGGTGGCGGCGGAGTCTTGCGACGGCGGCGGCAGCGACGACGCGCGCCAGGACGACTCGTTGGCGGCGCAGCGCGGCACCTTGACGGAGGGGGCGCCGCGTTCCTTTCTGCGGCGCTCGGCGCTCGCCGCCGCCGCACGCGTGGCCGTCGCCGCCGTGGCCGCCGTCGTCACCTCCGCCGCCGCCGCCGCTGCCGCCGTCCTCGGCATCGTCACTGGCGCCGCCGCTGTGACCGCCGTCGTCACCGCCGCCGTCTCCGTGGTCGCCATCGTCGCCGCCGCGGTGGTGTCCTCGGGGCTGTCATCGTCTTCGTCGTCATCGTCGTCGTCGTCGCCGTCGCCATCGTCACCACCGCCGCCGCCGCCGTCGTCGTCGAGGTGGGGCTCTGGGCGGCAGGCGTGCCTGCGGTGCGCGCGGGCCCGCGGCAACGGGAAGGAGGGCAGCGAGCAAGGGACAGCACGAGGAGGGATGAGGAATGGAGGGGGGGCGAAGGGGGAGTTTGAGGGCGAGGGGGGAGGAAGAGGAGCGAACATTGAGGGCAAGAAAGAGGAGGATGAGGAGAGGATGACCAGAAGTCCCAGGAATGAGGCTGATTCGGGGTACTAGGGGACGGGGAGGAGGATCAGGAGGAGGTGGAGGAGGCTGAGTGGAGGGAGGTATGGTTCGGCAGCCTACTTATGCAAGATTCAGGATCTGGGCAGCTGGGAGTGTGCGGCAGCCAGTGGGCCCGAACATCCTGCGGGCTCATCTTGCTCGCCAGATCACACATGTCAGGGGTGAGGGAACACAATGAACGAATGGAGGGAGAACGACAACCCCTCCGAGACAGATACACAAGGATCAAAAGAGGTTCAAACCAAACAGAATGCGTTCGCCCTCGAAGCCAACACGGCGCCAGAACTTACACAGGCCTACGACTCCAGTTGTACCTGAGTTTTTTTGGCGGGGGCCCTCTATCCGAGCAGGGGAGTGGCAGGAAGCGCGGTGAATATGGGGAGGGTGCGTGAGTATGAGGAGAAGGGATGAGAATAATCCGACAGGTTTTATCAGGAAAGGGAAGAGGAGAAAGGAGGCGGCAGGATGTGTAGGTGGGGCAGGAGGGAGTGAATGGATACGTAGGAGATGATATGGTGGATGAGGGATGACGGAGGGAGGAAAAGGAGCCCGAGAGAGGGAGAGCAGCAGGAGGGCCAGGATGAGGAGGAGGAGGAGGAGGAGGAGGAGGAGGAGGAGGAGGATGCGGACAAAGGAGTATATGGGGACAAGGTCGAGGAGGAGGAGGAGGCAATATTACCAATGCGCGTGCATGGGGATGATGCGTGGAACTGGGCAGAAAACGTTTGTCAGTGTGGACCCCAAACAGTGTGCGGACGGCGTGCCGTGCCATGCCTAGGGCCTACCATGCGAAAGACGTGCCGTGCCGTGCCCGAGTGCAGCGCCGTGCCGTGTCGCACCCAGGTTGTGGCGAACGACAAGGTAGCCATGCCTTGCCTGTGAGCTGTGCCGTACTGCGTCGTGCTCGGTCATATGCAACGCTGACCACCCCGCGCCGAGCACGCCACCCCGTGATGCTGACTCACCATGCTGTGTGTGTGTTATCTCTAGCTCATGCCGCCGCATCGGGCAGGGCCCACGGCTGGCGTGTCACCTCACTGCCAGCCATGCCTGGATGTGCTGGATGGCGGTAGGTGCTGCCGGATCCGAGGCGATCCTCGAGGGCCCGGCCGCGTCCCCGCGCTCAGTACTGCCATTGACTCCGCCTCGTCGCCGCGCGAGGCCGGCTGCGCCAGACAAGAGCGTGTGCTCTCAAGTAGGGTTGCTGTGTGGGGCCCCTGCTCGGTGCGGAATGTCGTTGGCATCTTAGCTGCTTCGATACGCCCGTTTTGATACGCAACGCGTACCGTGCTCAAAGCTTCCATGCCAATACGCTGCGTGGTGTCTCAGCGTACTGGCCCAAGTGTTGGCGAACGCATCGCGTCAGACCTATGCGTTTCAGTCTACGTGTTGAGCTCCGTATCAGCACGCTACGTGTCGCGCGTTGCGTACCGGGGCAGCCAAGGCTAGCATACCTTCGTCTGGAGCGGAGGGGATCTCCCTCCTCGCCAGGGGGGGGGGCAAGGGGCGCGCCGAAGTGACCCGGCCCCGCGCGCCGGGGGCGCCCTCCTCCAGGAGTACCGCTACTACCTGCTGGAGCCGCTGAGGCGGCGGCGGTGTGTCACCGCCCACCAAACCAGCCCGACCCAACCCGAAGGCCGGCCCCGATTTACCCTCCATTTCCAGTGGGGGGGTTCGGGGCACATGGGAAAACCACAAGTGAAGCCCGTACCCCCCCCCAAACCCGAAATTCGGGTCTTCGGGTTGGGTTGGGGTGGTCTGGTAGATGGTCGGTGTGGCCCTCCTGCGCCCCTCCTGCCATGGAGGGTCGGGAGGAGAAGAGAGGAGAGGAAGGGAGGCGGACCAGGGAGACGGAGAGGATGGGGAGGAAGTGGAGAAGGAGGAGGAGGAGGAGGAGGGGGAGGGGAGGAGAGGGGGGAGGAGGAGGAGGAGGAGGAGGAGGAGGAGGAGGAGGAGGAGGAGGAGGAGGAGGAGGAGGAGAGAGAAGCGGGAGAAGGATAGGATTGAGGAGGGGGGGCGACGGCAACGACGACGACGACGACGACGACGACGACGACCACCACCACCACGATGCTGACGAGTGGGATTCTCACGAGGACAAGGAGTGGGACGAAAGGATGAGGATGATGATGAGGACGAGGGTAAGGGTGATGAGAAGGAACTCGAAGGCGAGGATGGGGATGGGGAATGAGGAGGGCAGCGCGGATAAGGACCTGAGTGGGGTCAGAGCATGCGGAGGAGCAGGTGGAGGGAGGAGGAGCAGGTGGAGGGAGGAGGAGCAGGTGGAGGGAGGAGGAGGAGGAGGAGGACCAGCGCACCGGACTGACCGGGGTTCGGGTGTCTCTGCTGCTCTGCCTCTGCTGCAGACTCCCCTGCCGCACGCTGCGCCTCCCTGGTCAGCATGTCGAGAGTGACGGGGTTGGGCAGCGCAGGGCCTGCTCCGCACTCCATTCTCTGGATGACGACAGGTCTCGAAGCAACTTGGCGCTGCGACGTCAGTACTGTTGGGGGGCGCCTGGGAACTCCTTCTCAAAAGCCCTGGCCTAGCTCTTCAGGCCCAGCAACCTCAGACGCAGCTGTCAGTGCCGAGACGGTCGAACACATCGCTGTTGTGACCTTTCCTGTCCAGCGAGAGTTGGGCGAAGGCCTCGCAAAAACCTGGACAGGACAGGACGTCTCTTCCAGCTTTCGCGGCCTCTGATCTGGCTCTGGTTCTGCAGCGTTCGCACAACCAGAGGCCCTCGAAAATTCCGCCCACTGGCGGGAGCCGCCCTTCTTCTGGTCGCCGACCGAGGGGGCGCCAGCGTCGGCCCCAGGGCCCGCCGGGGGGGGGGGGGGGGCAGGAGGCGGAGGCTGGAGGGGCGCGGTATCCTTCAGGGGCATCGTTTTAGGTCTGACACTGGGCCCTCCGCAGGCCGTGCGTCCAGGTCTCGGGGCGATCGCGGGCCAAGACTGGAGGCCGCCAGGAAACAAGGAGACCGAGCCGGGAGCCCCCGCTCGGCAGAGTGGGCCCGGACCTCGGCTTCGGTCGGGCCGCCAGCTTTGACAGCGGCAGCGCTGGTTAGCCTATCAGCGATATTGCTTCCTTTGGCCAGGTGGTTCCCCTGGAACCCGCTGTTAGGGGTTCCAAATGCTGATGAGCTTTCGCTTTTTTTCAAATTCTAGGAAGGGCCCCCTTATTATGTGCACTCTAGCTCCATCCTTGCGCACACACACACACATTTCCCCTATGGAAACAGCACCTGGTTACTGCATATTTCTCAAGAGCGCCGAGGTGGTCAGAGTGGAGGGTAGTGAGGAAGGGGCACATGTGCCCGACCGCCATAGCTACGTGCTCCTCGGCAGCCGACGTTGGCGGCAAAAGGGCACCCGTCTGGCCCGTGAGGTAGGCTGAGCACTCACCGTGCTCGTCCAGAGCGGCAAGTGACCATCCAGTCTGATTCCAGATCTGCGGTCCTTGCCTGAAACAGGAGCCGAATCAGGACCCCCCCCCCTTTGCCCTCTTCAAACCCTGCTCCCCTCCCGGTCCCTTCCGTTCCCACCCCCTCCCATCCCCTTCCCGCTCCCGCCCGCCACGTCGCCCTCCTCGGCCTGCGTTCCACCCCTCCCCCCCGCCTTCCTGTGCACCTCAACCAGACCCGGATGACCAGCACCTCCGATGCGAATCCGGCCCCGCGGGCGAGCGCCCTCGAGTATCGGGCGCACGGCAATGGGGGGGAGATCTGGCAAGGGGGTGTCGGACGGGGCTACTTAGGACGAGGATAAGTCCTTTTCAGAGCGTCCCAGAACCTCGCAGAGCGTTCCAGAGCGCTCCGAGGAGGCCGCGACGGCCGGATACATCCTCCCGAGCCGCCAGGTCTCCAAGATTTTCGATTTATACGCACCCGATCTTATCCCTGTCCTGGCTTCGTCTTTGGGTGAAGAAAGATTGCAAAAAAGGATTGTTTTTTTTGCAATCCTTGGTTTTTTTCTGCATCTTTGCAGCAGCGGTCTGGCCCCGCCGCTCCCCGAAGCCCTAGGTCGCCCGCCGTTTGTGCCCTGCCCCCCCCCCCAGCGACGGCTGCAGAAAAGGAGCCCTTCAGGAGGCCTGCCCAGAAAAGGACCCCTTCGGGGCCCCTGCTGAGGCCCTGTCGGGCCCAACGCAATTTTTCTTCCCGCCCACCCCGCCATTCAGTGGCGCCGAAAGAAGTCGATTGTCAAAATAGCCCCTCCTGGTCACCTCCCTGCCTCCGCACAAGCCTCCAGCGCTGCGATTCGATTAGCGGGTCGGCTGCAGAATTGATTCACCCCAAATTTGATTTGCCAGTCGAATCTACAACAAAGATGCGCATAGGATTGGCCGATCCACGACAGTTCCGCGCATTTGCCACGGATCCGACGAAGACTCCGACGTTGGTATACGTCTGTTCTGCAGTCGATTCCTCACTCGAGCGACGTGGCCTTGAGCCCAGGAGCCCTCCTGGGCCGGTGCGCCATTCCAGATGTCGCTGCCGAAGGTTCCAGCGGCCCAAGGGGGGGATCAGTGTCGCCTCGCCAGCGCACCGCACCCGGGCGTCGCAGCGCCCTGGCCCGCAGTGTCCGCTCGCGACGGGAGCCGGCTTCAGGCTGTCGGCGGCGGGGGTCGCCCAAGCCCCCCCCCGCGCGTGCTCTGGGACGGAGCAGCCCCTGCAGCACCCCGACCTCGCTTGCCCCCCCCCTCCGCGACCTCCCTGCGAGCGGCGCCCAGTACAACCCCCCCTAGCCGCCAGATCTCAGAGATTGTCGATTCACCGCCACTCGAACTTGTCCTCCCCCGTGCCCTGAGATCCGACGCTGCAGAAGACTGCAGCATCGCAGAAAAGCACGGCCGGGGCCCCGGACCGCATCTTTCGGGCTCCTTTTTGCGAGCCGGATCGATCGGTGAGAGCCCCGGAGCCCGACATGGAGCGAGAACGCCCGTTGTCTACAGGAGAAATATTCAGAAATCGTAAAAAATAGTCAGGGGGCGATTGTTCTTCTATTGGTGAGCATGTTTGGAGCATGGTTTGCATATGTTTTCATTGTTCATCGAACCGCATCGCATCGGATCGGATCCGGCCCGGGGATGCTCTCGAAGGGGCTTCGGCGGAGTGCTCGGCGCGCCGCGTCAGCGGCTGGAGCAAGAACCCATCGGGGCCCAGGCTCGGCTCGCGACGACGCGCTCGCGAAGCACCTCCCGTCGTGATGTTTTCGTGTGGCTCGAGGGGGTCTGCAGGGCTCGTCTCGATTCCTCCGATTCGATTCGATTCTATTTCGACGGCTTCCGATTCCGATTCGATTCGACCCGCGATTCCGATTTGGGTTCCGACCTCTTCCTGAAGGCATCGTTACTAGCCTGCCGATGTCCGCCGATTCGACCTTTGGCTGCCGATTCCCTTCGATCCGATCCCTTTCGATCGCCGATCCGACTTACCGATTCGATTCTGGGCTTGAATCGGGCCTGTTTTTTACAGGAGGAACATGCACAAATAACGGGCCCATTTGTTTTTTTTATATGTTTGGCACATGTGTGGAGCATGTCTTGGCTACTTCTATCTTTCGCCCACGATCCGCCTGTAGGGGGACACGCCCGACCTGATTCTGGGCTCTCCTGGGCCTGCGGCGCCGCCTGCCCTGGGCCCTCCACCCCCCCCCCGCTGGCCGCCGGCCTCCTCTCCTCGCCGAGGGCGCTCCCCCGGCCGCTCCCCTAGCCCTGGTCGGGGGGCGGCAGAGAGGGGGCGGCGGTGACCAGGGCTAAGTCGGGCCTGTCCCTCTACTGGAGGAATTTTCAAACATTGTCAAGTCATGTATGGTGTTTATACATATAACATACATATGTATGTATATATATATATATATATATATACATGCATGCATGCATGCATGCATGCATGCATGCATGGATGTATGTATGTATGTATGTATGCATGCATGTATGTTTGTATGTGTGTATGTATGTAGATTCGCGTTTTTTGTTGGGGGGGGGGGGAACATGTTTTTGCATTTTTTGGCGGACGACTTTCTCGTTCAAAGAAGATGTTTGGATTTGGTTTTGATTACATACAAGTGTTCGTCAGAAATCCGCCTGTTCAGACTTGATGTGATTAGGGGGGGTGGGGATCTCACGGCGGGGGCCCTGATGTCTCCCCAGACTTCTTGGCGTTTCTCCTTGGTTCAATACGTCCCCGGCCCCCGCCCCCGGGGCCGCGCTATGCCAGCTGGCCATGATGCCTTGCCCCCCCCCCTCCTCCTCTCCTCCTTCTTCTCCTGCTCCTCCTCCTTCTCCTCCTCCTCCTCCTCCTCCTCCACCTCCTCCTCCTCCTCCATCCTCCCTCCTCCCTACTCCCTCCTCCCTCCTCTTCCTCTCACCCTCCCTCCCCTCCCGGACGCCCCCCCCTCCTGGCCGCCCCCGACCTGGCGCTCGCAGGCGGGCGCACCTCCGCTTCCTGCCGGACGGCCTGGCGGACCGCGAGGACGGCGGCATCGTGCAGGATCGCTCCGTGCAACCCGCCGCCCACCCTCCCGGAGACTCCACTTTTTCGTGCCGGGCGTGTTTTCGCGCAGGCTCAAGGGGGATCGAGGGAGAATCGATGCAGTGTCCTAGTTGGCGCGCCCACTGTGGGCGCACGGCGGTGCGGCGGTGCCGAGGGAGAATGAGATGGAGAGGACGACCGAGGAGGAGGAGGGATGAGGAACGAGGACGACGACCCTCGCGGCGACGACGACCCTCGAGGCAGCGCAACACTCGGGAAAACGTAAGATTCGAGTAAGCCGGAACTCGGGTTTACCGACGTTTTTTGACGAGCGCGTCCTGGATTTTTGCGGTCCGGTTTTCGTGGTATGTCTGCAGCGGGAGTTCGCGTTAAATTTCAGATTGGGTCTCGTCATCTTTATGATGGCCCCCGTCAGGCCAACCCCAGTCCCCCGGACCCGAGTTTTATGCCTTCCCGATCTGTTAGGCGGCACGATGGAGAAGTTCCCATTGTTTAAGGTTCGTCCCCTCCAAACCTCGCCCCGACCCCCCTCCAAAGCGGTATTGTTCCTTATATGTTTGCTTTTGCGCTCCTCTTGTTTTGGCATAGTGCACGTCGCGTCGCACAGAACAAAGTCGCAGTTCTGCTTGGCAAAATCAGCAGTATCGAGGACACCGCGTAAGAAATGATGAGCATGGACAACACGTAGGACAACACGTAGGACAACACAGTATTGATAATAACACGAATGATATGGACAACACGTAAGTATCTAGAACAACACGTAGGACAGCACATAATCGATAACAACCCTTTTGGAGCAAAGCCAGAGCTCGACGGGGGCGGGTTCCATGGGGCGAAGCCAGAGTTCGACGGGGGCTGACCCGCACCTCATTGTCGAATCTCTCAATAACCATTCGTGCTCAAGCTATGTTTGGGATCGACCACATCGTCGTGGCTGGAAGCGCCCCAGAGCCCTTTCCCGCGCAGCAGACCAGGGCGCGGGGCCCGCGAGAAGCCAAAACTAGTGGACATTTCTTGGCATGGTTTTTTTCTCGCGGCCTTGGCGATGACGAGGCTGGCGCCGACCCCGCGGAGAGCGAGGGCATCCGTGCGCGCGGCATGGCGTCCATGAGGTGGGAGCTTGCGGACTTCACCGAAGAGGGCGCGAGTGTGGCTCGGGCGCTGGGTAGTTTCCCCAGAGGTGCGTGCACGGAGAGGTGTGTTGGGTTTCTGTGCTATTATGTCGTGCAGTGTGAACGTCTGCAGGGCGCCCGTCATGATGAATGCAACTCAGCAGATGCAGCAGCAGTGATGGCAATGACGGAACGCTTGGGCGACATCCTTCTTCAACCATGTGGTCGCACTGTGGCAGAGTTTCTTCAGGGCGGTGGGTGCGTGCCAGCCGCCATGCATGTACCCCTGCACGTAGCCCAGACAGTGCTGCATGGAACCAAACGCGTTGTTCGGATCGTCCCAATTCCTTCGGACTTGAGGGGCATGCGGTACACGTCTGTGATTTGCGATGCCCCGAGGCGTCGAACAATCATGACATGGGCCAAGGGTAAAAGTTCGTCGGGCGCAGTGGGGTGTATCCCAGACAGCCGCGACGTCGTCGTCGCGCAGCCTGCTGAGCAAGACTTTCTCGATATAGCCAGTCGCCCAAGATTGCGGGACAAGCCGAATCCTGGCGGCGTCGTTTTGAGCAGAGGTTATCATGTCAAGACGGCCATGGAGACAATTAGAGCCATCGGGTTTAGCAGACATTTGAGGGCCCAGGCCAATTTCTTCGATGCTCTGCAAGATGCGACTTCCTATATGATGGAGATTACTGGGGCGTTTGACTTAGATGCATCTGATTATCCGCTTCTCGAGAAGCATGAGACGCCAAGTGACAGGAACTTGAGACGTGCGATTATGCGATTAGATGTTGTATGCATGCTTATTCATCGGCGGGAGTTTCTGCAGGTCAGGGATCGCATCGTGAGCATCCACATCTTTTCAGACGCCAGCGATTGATTGGGCTCCGAAGTCCAAGGCATGATTGCGGACTTCGCCTACGACGACGGCACCTTCGAGCGCCGCACCCTGCCAGGGTGCTCATTGGCGCATGGCTTCATGTCTCGGCTCGACAAGCGCTTGCGTTCCTATGGGTCGTCTTCTTGATATGCGGGCCAGCTGTTGAAGATATGCGGAGCTTCCTGTCCAAGGTGCGGTCGACGACGACCGACATGGGCGCGGAGCTCTATTTGGTCGACTGCGTGGACATCCTCGACGCTTTCCACAAGCGGTTGGCTGGGCATCCTGTGCTCGCGCTGGGCGGACATATCGACAGATCTTCGCGGCTGTTGCCAAATGCGATTCGTATTTCGGGGTGGTGTCACATTTGCAGCAACATAGTTAAACGACTGGTCCATCTCGCAGAGAAGTGGCCGCAGTGGTGCAACGCGATTAGGGACCTGTGCCATTGTTTTCGCAACTCTTCCTACAGAGTCCACATGATCAGGGGGCTGAAGCACAGCGTCCCTGGCGTCGCTATGTTGCTGAAGAGCTTCACGGCGTCACTCGCGAAGTGGCGGTTCGAGACATTGGATGTCGTGTTGTCGCAGCTGCTGAAGTTGAGGACCTTGTGCCAGGAGCACCTCGACGAAACGCTGTTCGAGAAGATCGGCGACTCTGGCTGGGTCAAGCCCTTTCCCGCAGCATGTCGGAACAAAGAGCTCTGGGCGTTCATGTCGGTATCTCACAAGTTTGTGGTTCACCCGCTTGAGAAGCTGCGACGCTGGGGATTGGGATGCGCATGTCACGACGCTGAGCGGGCGCGTGGCAAGCGCCCCGAGTGCCCGAAGGCTGGGCGGCGCCTGGGCGAAGCTGTCAGCCACCTTTCTGCCCAGCGTGATGCTATGCGGGCGAAGATCCAAGGCGTCGCTCTGGATGACTGCGAGGGCTCGGGCGACATGAAGTTGCTAGTCGTTCACATGCTGCGGAATGCCTTCGACGATTTCCAGAAGTTCAGGTATTTGGAGGTCGTGCCGTGGCGCTTCGCAATGGCCGGCGATCCAGGCGAAGCTCGCGAAGTACTCCGCCAAGTCGGTCTTCGGCCATTGGCGGACCACGACCCAGTGACGAGGCAGATATTCAATGCTTTTGGCGACGACTTGAGGGCTTCAGCCGACGGCGCCCCCTGCTCGCCAGCATTGGCTGCAGAGTTGCGGGCCCCGCGGAATTGCCCGCTGGATGAGCCCCCAGGCGAGGGTTGGCACAGACACGCGAGCTATGAAAAGCATCGGGCAACGTGCACGAGGCTGCTGCGCATCAAGGCGTCGATCAGGCTGAAGGAAAACTTGGCCAAGGTGAAGCAGTTCGCCCCGAAGCATAAGTCTGCTGGGCGGGCCGTCGTGGAGTACGAGTGGCGCCATTACAAGAGAATACTGCAGGTGCACACGCGGAGGGCTAAGCAGAATGTCCGGAGTAGATCGACGAGCGTCTACCACAAGATTTACAGGATGGATGATGCAGTGACCGACGACTGGGGCAGCTTGGTAAATATCGGTGGCGTCTCCTGCGGCGCCTGTCGTCGTGCCCGCGATTGGCTCCGAGCTGCTTCGCAATGAGTTTGCGCTTGCCACGTTCACGCCAGGCTCGGTGTTCAGCGCGCCGACAATCCAGAATGGCACTGCAGAGAACGGTGACGCCGTGGAGGTCGCTGGCACGAGATTCTCCCAGATCGTTCGGAAGACCGCGAGCAAATCGCGCCCTCACCTCGTGCCCACGGTGGAGGATGCCGACGACCTCAAGCTGACGTCTCCTCTGGTGCTCTACATTCAATCCTTGGAGATATGGCGAGATAATCGTGATAGCAGTGGCGGCTTGGAGCTCTACTCGGATTGCGACCCGATGTGGGTGTTGCCGAGTGACGTAGCACCTGGCAACGTATTGTTCAGGAGCGTGCAGCGGTGGACGGTCGTGAGTGCTAGCGAAGCGGTGCAGCGCTGCATTGCCGTGTCCTCGCCTGTCCACGCGAAGCCAGACATCCCTTTAATGGGTGCGGCTTGCCCGACATATTGCATCTGCGACGAATTGCGTCGCAGAGGTTGGGTTCACAAAAATCACAGGGTTGCGCGCGCACTTCTCGATGATAGGCGAGAGTATGACGGCAGATCGGCCACGCAAAGAAAAGCTTACTTTCAGTGTTTGTTGTCCTTGCCAGAAGTGCTAGGCATCTGCGGTCCAGGGGGGGCTTCCGTCAGACCAGCCGATTATTTTTGTATAAGCTTCTTCTTGTGGGCAAGGCCGTTGCTCCAGGTCTTGGCAATGACCGATGCAAGCAGTTGTGGTGCGTGCGCAAAGGGATCGATCCGAAGCCCGCCTTGCCCGTGCTTGCGGGTCTTCCCGATGTCGTCGTCGCTGGGGCGGAGGTGGCTGTCGGTGCGGCCGCGGCCGCTGGAGGTGGCCACGCCGCCCCCCACGGAGGCGGCCATGTTCACGTCGCACCCCCTGGAGGCGGTCACGCTCCGATTCTGGAGCATCCCCCGCCTCCGCCCGATCCGCCGCTGCCCCCTCCGCCCGAACCGCCGCCCACCGATCCCGTCGTGGGGCCAGGAGGCGTTGTCGTAGCTGGCGAGGAGGGCGCCCCGCCCGACGCTGCCGCGGCCCCCAAGCCGAAGGTCGCTCGCGACTGGAAGGCCGCGGTCGGCGGCGGCGAGATTTGTTTGAATGATTACACGCCGCCTGCTGGCGTTCCTTATTCCAATTGGATTTTCAAATGCAACCGCCATGCAGGTTGCGCAAAGAAGAGGAGCGTTAGTGCTGCGCATATGAGAATGTGGGGCCCAGTCGAGATCCCAGCCTTTCTGCACTGCTGGCGCGACGTAGTGGCCCCGCCAGGCATGCAGCATAACAAGGTCATGCCTTCTGACGAGGACATTGCTGCTTGGGTCGCAATGCACGGGGCTGACTTCGCCAGGGATCACGGTTTAGCCTTGCCCCCTTGACCGATCGCGGCTCGAGGGCAGGGGGTTCGTGGGGATTGGGGGAGGCGGAGGCGGTAGGAGAGTGATGACGAGGCAGATGACGGTGCGAGGGTGGATGGGTCGGGGGAGGAAGGAGCGGGGGTGAGGGGGGAGGGGTGATCACTACTCAGTATTGTGACGTTTCATTGCGCCTTGGCACCTTCGCCCTTGTTTGGCGTGCACTGCTGCGCTGCGCTGAGCTGGCCAGGCACGCGCTGCGAGTCCAGCAAACAACGAGTCTAGCCAAAAAGGAGTCAAGCAAAACGAGTCGAGCAAACAAGCTAGTCGAGCATGCCACACATTCATGCAACAAGGGCGGTCTCCAAGGGACCTGAGATGGACCCCCTGTGGTCGGCCTGGGGGCCCGAGGGCTTCCGATTGGACTGTGGACTTCGGCATGGTTTCAAGAGGATTCCAGGAGGGCCCCATGGCGTAAACACGATGAACTATTTTGTTAAGGGCCCTCTACCCTTGGGGCCTTCTTGGCCCCCATATTTCAATCCGCGTGCCTTCCTTCAAATACGAAGCCGGCCTCCTTTCATTCAGAGTACGCCCCGGCCCCCATGTAACAGGCTTTCGGGGACATGGGAGCGGGGCGCTCGCAGTCGCCATTTTGGCTCAAGCCGTAAGCTGACCGACTCGACCAGCCAATTCGGTCTCTCTCGCGCTTGCAGTGCAGGCGCTATGGCGTCGCCCGCCGACGATGCCACCCCCCAGCAGTCCGACGTGAATCTGGCAGTGGAGGCCCAGGAGTTCGGCCTCATGGCCGCGAACAAAGGAAACATGATCAAGTACTTGAGCAAACGCCTCTTAACGATGACAAAAGAGCGAGACGCTCTAATCATTGAGAATGACAAGTTGGTTACCTGCAACGTCGAGCTCACGCAGAGGGCCTCATCCCAACGCATTGTGATTGCCTCCCTGAACATGAAGTCGCATATTGTCAAGCTTCTCAGAGCACTCACGGATGATGGCGACGGCGGCTGATCCACTGGCGATGACGACGGCGGCAGCTCCAGTGGCGATCGCCAGAAAGACGCCGTCGCCATCAAGAAGAATGGCAAGGGCACCGTGGAATACCCGAACTTCCACAAGAAGGTCCACTTCCTGAGCCGCGCCGCGGTGATCTGCCAGGGCGGCAAGGTCCACGAGAAGGTGGAGAGTGGCGTCGACCGTCGCAATAGATTGCGTCGGGAGCAGTACGCCATCGACAAAGCGAGGGACAGGGTCAGGGAGGAGCTCGACAAGCAGAGCTCGCCTGTGGCAGTGGCAGTTCGCGCTGCTTCTGGCAGTGGCAGTTCGGCGGCGTCTTCTGGCGGTGGCAGTTCGGCGGCTTCTAGCAGTGCAAGTTCGGCGGCGCCTGCCATCGCCGACGGCGACGCTGCTTCCATCGGCGACGGCGACGCTTCCATCGGTGACGAGAAAGAAGCCGACGGCGAGACCCCGCAGAGGAAGCGCCGCCGCTGGGCCTCTGGCATTTTGAATCCCTGAGGTTCTAAGCAGAGGGTGGTCAATGAGTCAATGACATCTGAGTGACTCCTGAGTGGCCTGGTCAGCTGCGATGTTTTTCTGGACTGCCTGGCGGTGGGCAGTTGCGATTGTCTGCGCAATGCGTCGCAGTAGAGGTCCCGAATCGGCCGTGCACAGGGATTCGTGTGCAAGCATTGCTAGCTTTACTCTTAAGCTGGGCTGTGGCTGAGTAAACAGTCACATGGGTTGTGAGTAAAACAGGGGCTCTGGGTAAACAGTTCCGAGTCTAGTTCGGCAGGGCTTCTGGGGTAGTTCTCACGGTGTCGCGTAGTAATTCGACAGTTTCGAGAATAGTAGGTTTCGAGACGTAGTTCGACGGTGTCGAGTAGTACTTCGACAGTAAACGGTTTCGAGTAGTAGTTCGACAGTTTCGGGAGTAGTATGTCGACGGTGACGTTGGGCCAGGTCAACCATATGCAAGCTGCACTCAGGGTGTGTAACGATGAGGGGTATGAAAGGTCAGGCGTAGGGCGAGGAGATCTCGAGTAGGGCGGTGAGGTCACGCGTAGGGCGAGGACGGGTATGGCAGGAGGACGGTGAAGTGCTCAACATAACATACATAGGAAGACACCATGCATCACAGGAGCATACAGCAGTGCGTAAACGCATGACAGAGGAGCTTGAGGCATGTTATGGGGATGTTGTGGGGATGTTCCAGGGTCATGTGGGGATGTTCTGGGGATATAGTGGGGATGTTCTAGGGTCATGTGGGGATGTACTGGGGTGATGTGGGGATGTTCCAGGGACATATGGGGATGTTCTGGGGATGTTGTGGGGATGTTCCAGGGACATGTGGGGATGTCCCTAGGCGCGGACGTGCTGGCGAGGATCGCTTTTTCTGTTGATGCATGTAGCAGTTGTTCGCATTGTCCTCTTGTGATAAGGGCACAGTGAGCCAGATCCGCGACAGCCTCTGGACATGCGTTTGTTGATGCGTGAGTTTCAGGCGGATCCTCCTATTATGCTTCGCGCGGCTGTGCTATCATCATTGATGACGCGTTGGCCTTGTCTCACTCTTCAGGCTCCCCTCGTCAGCCCCCTTCCCCTCGTCAGCGTCCGCCTCCTCATTAGAGCCCCCATCGTTGCGGTTGGGCCCCCCCCGTCAGCGCCCTCCTCGTTGCCACCTCCGCGTTGGCATCACCTTCCTCTTTTCATTGTCCTTCTCGTCATGCCTCCTCGTTGACACTATCGTCCACAGGGGTATCCCCACGATAAGGTTGTTGAAACGGCTGTCCTAACCTCCCAGACGGCGGCGCTAACGCCCCACGCCCTCCTGCTTCAGCCGGCGGCGCTAACGTCCCAGAGCCCCAGACACTCCAAGGAGGCCCAAGAGACCCCAAAACTTGGGCTTGCTTCAGACGGCGATGCGAACGTCCCAAGAGTCCCAGAGTCCCAGACACTCCAAGGAGGCCTAAGACACTCCAAGGAGGCCCCAGACATTCCTGCTCCCCCCCCCGACATTCCCCCTCTGGCAGCCTGCGTTCAGGGCCAAGCTTGATCCCAGCATGGACTGACAACCGCTCCTGGAGCCCGCGGCGCGACAGATGCCGCCGCCAGCGTCCGTCGCAGACTCGCATCGCAGCAGGCTTCCCTCGAGGCCCCCCGCGGATTCGCGCGGGCGGGCGCGCTCGAGGAGCTCGCGGCCTAGGCGCGGGCAGCGGCGCCTCGGCAGCAGCCGAGGCGAGGGGGGCTCGTCCGTTGCCAGCCCGCGCCGCCGCGCCGAGGAGGGTCGGCGGGCAGCGGCGGCGGCGAAGAGGAGCCCCAGCCGCGCCGAGCTCGACGGCAAGAGAGCCAGGATGCACCTCTCGCCACCACGGTCCACGTCTCCTGCTGCCACGCGTGCTACGAGTGCGAGGTCGCCGTCAGTTTCAGGTCGATCCCAGTCGGTAGCATCGGATCGATCGGGTGGCAGCCGCCTCAGCGAAGGTTTCGACGCATCCAATCTGACGGAGGGCGGCCCCGTGTGCACCGAGTGCGGCTTGGTGATCGCGGATGGCGACAAGAGGTACCGCTGCTTGATGTGCCACTACGAGTGCGGGCTGGCAAAGCGGTCCATGGAGAACGAATGTGCCAAGGATCCTTCGCTCAAGCAGGCCGTGGAGAAGATGAAGACGAAGTCGCCCGCGCAGTATAGGGACATGATCAAGGTGTTGATGACGTCCAGGGGCAGTGACAGTCGCAGTGAAGGTCGCCGAGGGGCCACCTTCCAGGCCCGCGCCGCGCTCAGCGATGTGGTCGGGCTGATCAGGGAGTTCACCAAGGAGATCGTGCGCTCCAGGAAGAAGGGGTACTTGCTGCTGACGAAGGGCCAGTACATTGCGTACCAGGTTGGCTCGGGTACTTAAGCCCGACTCCACCCCTTTTGAGCTAGGTTGAGGAGGCTCCGAAGATTTCTTAACAGAAGTTGGTAGTGTAGGTCGAGTCGAGTACGCGATGGAACGACGTTCGTTCCGTAGCCATGTTGGTTCAATTGGCAGTGCAGTTGGTTTCGGGATGTTCCATCGCACGCATGCTCGTTGCTGGCTTCTGGACGCAGCGGAGGCTTCGCCCGCAGTGGCGGCGCCAGAGGCGGCAGCAGTTGGGGGGGTCTGGTCATACGACTCGGTCTTCATGCAGGAGTACCGCCCGATCAAGTACCCTCGGCCTCGTCGCCGCGTTTGCCCACCCGGCGTGTGGCTGCCCAAGCTCAAGAAGGCCCGCGCCACGGCCAGCACCGAGGCCAGCTCCGCGGCCAGCCCGACGCCTTCTCGCACTCCTTCGGGCCCAACGTCGAGCCCGACGCCGAGCGCGCCGTCCGGCTCTTCGACGCCCATCCCGAGCCCGTGCTCAATGTCGACCCCGACGGCCAGCTCTTCGACTGTCACCGTGATTGATTGAGCCCGTGCGCGTCGGCCACGCCGTCGTGTTTCCCGATCTCTCGTGCGGGGTGCACCAGAGAAAAAACTGAGGGGTGCGATGGGCCGACGCCGTGGGAAGAGGGGGTCGATCAGGGGTGGGAATGCGGATGCGGATGATGGGGGAGGAAGAGGACGAGGAGGAGGAGGAAGAGGAGGAGGAGGAGGAGGTCCCGATCCATCCCCATGGTGTGGAGATCCTCGATAAGGCCCTTTGGTGGGTTCTTAATGGGCAACGTCTGCTGGGGCCTCACTTCTATATTCGCGGTGTCTTCATCCCGTAGGGGCAGGAGGAGGAATATCGTGAAGCTCTCCCATGTCCCCGAACGCCTGATCTGGACCATGGGGGGGGGGGGCGAGCATCGTTCCAGATGTTCCAGATCAGGCGTTCGGGGACATGGGATGCTTCGTCCCGTCGATGCTCGGCCCCCCATGTTCCGCCGTTCTGGGCTCGGTCGGGCCCTCGGGAAGTTCGCGCATCACATCCAGGGGGGCTTCGTCTCCTGGCTTCGCCCTCCGCCCCCGCGGAGGTCTACACCAACGGCTGCTCGCGCAGCC